AACAAATCAAATAAAAAAAAAAACCCAACAAAGCCTTATAAGAGAAATGAAATGAAGAAGAAATTTTGAAAAATGGTGAAGAAATGGGAATGGAATTCAAAGAAGAAAAACAAAGAGAAAGAGAAGGCAAAGCCCTGGGAGAGAGAGAGAGAGAGAGAGAGAGAGAGAGAGAGAGAGAGATTTTCCATTGGGTAGAAAAGGCTGCAAAAACAAAGGGAATTTTCCTTGTATGTAGAAAATGGTAAAGGATTAAAAAGAAAAGGAAGAGGAAGCACAATATTGAAAATGGAAAAAAGGGTTTTTGATTTTGATTATCAATGATAATTTTATCGTGTAGAGTGTTGGAAGCAACAAGTGTGGGAATCCTGGTGTCAGAACAACGGGGGTTCAGCTTCATCAGCTTCAGCTTCTTCTTTTTGGAGAGTTTTCCTTTGTTTGTTTGTTTCTTTTTCCTTTCTCTATTCTCTGTTTGTTTCCCTAGTGCATCTCTCACGGTTAGATTCTACTCCAATTCCTCTCTCTGTCTCTCCTTTCTATATACGTATAATTTTAAACCTTTCTTTTCTTTTCTTCTCTGCCTCGAACTGCACAAACTCAAAAAAGAAAAATACTAGTCTGTTTTTGAGAATTATGATGATAATGATGATGATGAGGTATTCTGTGGCAGAGAGTCATGTGCTCTGCATTTTCTCTTTCCTTTGCTTTGGTTTTTTTATGAGCTTCAATTTGTTGCATGCTTATAATAATTAATGAAATTTTTTACATGATTTCATTTTCTTCTGCATCTTCTCCTCGAATTTAACCCAATCCAACACGCATGTTCTGCTGCTTCTTCTACCCTCCCAATACGCATACCTTGCTCCCCTTTTGAGATAAATAAATATTTATACTATATTTTCCTGCCTATTTGTCTTTTTTTTTTTTTTTTTTTTTCTGTAAACCCTACTTACCTTCTTTCTCTTTCACATTCTCTCATATTTATATACACACACACGCGTTGTTCTTTTTACGTAAAATGTTGATTCTTCAATATTTGTTCATATAGATGCAATAATGAGATTATAATGTGTATTGATGTTTAGAAAATTTTTTTAGTAGAAGAGAAAACTATATATATACTTATTAAAGTTTATGAATGAAGAATCGATCTTGTTATTATCGGTGCTTTACGAAATGAGAAATGATAAATCCAAATTACATTGTCAGCAGACGAACATATTCGAGATTTACTAACTCTTCTCTCCGTTCCATAAGTTTAAGTCCTTTTTTTTTATGGTTAAATTTTAAATATTTAATTAAATTAACTTTTTATAAAATTATATTTAAAATCTTTCTCATTCAAGTTTTTTAGAAAGTATATATATATATATATATATTCATATTTTAATTAACAATTTATTTAAAAATAAATAAAATCAAAATTGAAGAAGTTTGCTCCTAATTAAAATCCAAATTAGGACCTTATTTATGTGATAAAAGAGAGTATATAATCTTGAATTCACAACAGGAATTTAGGGGCCATTACGGGTCATTATTAGGGCAGGTATGACACTCTCTGAACCTATTCTCGATTATGATATTTATATCCGTTCTTATATTTGTATTCATAGGATAATATGTTTGTATATTTATCCCCATACGTAGCAGATAATGGGTAACCTAAATTTTTCTCGAATATCTGATTATAATTTTAAAAAATAATAATAAAATAATTAGAAAAACATGTATCATAAATTTACACTAAACAATTGAATCAAATCCAAAAAAATAAATCGGTTGATAAAATAGTATGTAAAATTTTTTTGTAACATATATTATTTTAATTATAAAAAAGAAGAGAAATAAAAAAATATTTTTATATATGTTAGGTAACGGGTGATCTTCAGGACAAGTATTACCTCATTCGTCCCTATTTCCAAGCCCGATAATACCCAAATCCTGTTACCCGATTATCCTGCACAAAATTCTCCACATATCTATACTTATTCGAGGCGGGAAATGGATAACCAATCAGACAAAAGTGAAATTACCATCTCTAGGTCCCATTTCATTCTTTATTTTTTTTTATTTTCTATTTGTATTAATTTTAAGATTTATATTTAATATTCAATCAGTGTAAAAATATCATACACTAGCGATGCGCCACTTCATTAATAAATAAAGTTAAAATTTAAAGATCTTAAAAATTAAATATAAAAAAATATAAAATTATAAGATATTTTAAGGATATTAAAATTTTAAATTTGCTAGTAGACAATGAGATAATTTGTGGTGCTCTAATTGAATCTAATATCTATAAATTGATAAAATATTAAATACTAACAAATAATTGATTTAATCGATTAAAATTATTCTTTTTGACGAAAAAATTTTGGGTTTAAATTTTGTTGGTGATCATTTATTGAAATCATCTCAAAAATATAATCTGTAATTATTTATTTTAAATTATTAAATATGATACATTTTATCTTAATATAAAAAATTGAATACTTCATTTTTTTTTTTAAAAAAGGTAAAATATTAAATATATTCATTTATTCCTATTCATCAATAAAGAAAAGTAATTGATTTGAAAACTTGAAAAAAAAAAAAAGGCATTTATTAGGGGGAAGGCAGTGGGAACCCTAGCTAAAATGTGGGTTAATGGAGGGTGACGGGAGAGTCAAAGAAACTTTGGGACCCCAAACAAAACAAAAAGAAAAACACATCAAATTGTATGGATTTAAGGAGGGGGTATAATTATTTTGTTTATAAAAATCCAAAGAGGAAATTATATGAAAAAACAAATCTTAAAAAACGTGTCACATGAACAAAGGGAGGCATGATGATTACAAGCTCAAAATCGTTGTCCTGAGGCAGACATTGAAATTTGGAAGTACCTTACCAAAGCATTGTCTGTCTTTGTGCCTTTTTGGTTTTTTAATATTAAAGCCATTTATAGGTAAATAGTGTCTGAAAATATAGGGTTATTTTTATTCAGTCATGTCTTTGTCTTACTTTTTTTTTCTTTTAATTTTCTTTTTAGATACTGGTGTTCCTATTTTTGTACTGGTTATCAAACTGATGACCCTTGGAGGAGGTAAACATAAAGTTTGAAGTTGAGTACAATGTTAAACAAGAGGGATCGGAGGAATTAGTTCACGGAATATAAAGGAAACTGACGGTTAATTAATATTAGAAGGATAAAGTTACCCTTTGTCTATATTTAGGTTATTATTTTTTTTATAGAAAATTACTCCTTTTTTGGGTAAATATAGGACTTAATGTAAAAAGAGAATAATAATTAATAAAATAAATTATATCATTGGTCATTCAAGTATGATGGTATTTTTAATGATCATTAAATTATTAAATTTTTTAATTTAATTACTAAATTTTGAATAAATATTTTTTTTCATCCAATTATTAATTTCTAAAGATGTATTGACAAAATAATGTCACGTTAGTAAAATGTATGCCTTTCAATATTTCTAATGACATGTAAATAATGTCACATGATACATAGGATGACGTGATAATGTCATGTAGTATTTAAAGATTGATGTGGTATTGTCATATTTTTAAAAGCTAGCAATGATAAAAAAATATTTTACTTAATTTTAATGATAATAAAAAAATTTTATGATTAAATAATTATTTTAAAAATAAAAACATAATTAAATGACTAAAAATATATTCAAACATTTAATTTAATGATCAAACCCTATTATATATATATATATTATTAACTTAGTTCCAAGAATTAGATTCGAACCGTATACTTTGTCAAGTGACACCAAGATCGTTTGTGAGGTATACAGAACACGATTGGAACCCAAACGACTCACCCTTCAATCATTCAATATTCCTCTTGTAAAAAAAAAAGTCATGGCTATTTTTTTTCTTTTGGTGTTCTTTGTTTTTGTATAAATTTGGATGACCCTCTTCAAATCTTTTTTTTTTTTTTATGTTTATTATTAAGTTCTTATTGGATACATTGAAAGTAATCATTATTCAAGAAGCATTAATTTATTTGGCATCAATTGAATGTAAAAAAATCATATGCTTTTTGCACATATGCTTTTTGCCAAGTGCAAAAAGCATAGACCAAACCATACCTAACCTAACATTGGTAATTTTTTTTTTATTTTTGAAGTCAATGCTAACTTTTGGCCCAATGTTTTAAAAGACAGCTTTACTAAACGCTAGAGTGGATATCAGTTATATAGGCTTCCACTATGGTGCTCCAGTATTATTTTCCACATCCATTTTCTCAACTTGGGCCTATTAAGGCTTCAAGCTTTCATTGATTATGTTGAATGCTGGCCTTTGCAAAAGCTTTTATGTACTATTCCATCTCGGATCAACTTTAATATAACTATTATGGGAAAAAAAAAATTTAGCTAGACTCACATGCTGACTAGGTACATGAAATAAAAACTTTTATAAGTTGAAATTAATAGGACTACAAAAAATGGCAATGTAAGAGAGTGAGATCGTATTCGAATAAAAAAATGAATATTTTAATATTTTATTGTCATTTTAATTTAATTGGGATTTTAGTTAATTCCAATTCGTTTTTCATGTAATTCTAGTGCTTCTGTAACTTGTTTTCCAAGGAAGAAGTTTTTGTGATGGTTACTAAGTAGGAAATTGCACCTAGATTCAGCTCACATGGAGATTTCTACACTTTCCAACACATGAATCAATGATTGATTGCCAATAGCTTGGTCTGTTAGTAAAGTATTAGACTCTTAATTTTAGTAATTAGGGTTTAACCCTTACCCAAATGATATCAATGATTGGATCATTCTATGGTGAAAAATAACTTTGCATTTATCCAAAAATTAATAAAACTTCTAACAGAGATTTTTATATCATATGCACTGACAAATATCATAAGAAAGCTTAGCTTCTTAACTCTTAGCAGATGAAAAAAAAAGAGAAGGAATATGCAGTAGTTACCTCCTTCACTTTGTGAATTGGAGATGAAAAAACAGAAAAGGTTTGAAAAAGTATGAATCATTGAAATACAAACAATATTGATTTTGAGAGATACCCTGCAATTATTTGAATTCTTGATAAAAGTTTCATGACAAGATTAATCCACACTTGACAATCTGATCTAATGAACTTACCAGGTTAGTCATGCTAGGTCGCTCGCTTGGATTTTCCCTTAATGAAAGCTCAGCCAAGTCAGCAAGTTTAAGCAATGGTTCTACATTTCTTGGTAGAGGCACATTTCGATCGATAGTGGCAGCTGCCTTTCCTTGCCTTATTAGAGGCAATGCCCACTCAACAATTCCTGGAGGTGTGAAGTCTCTATCGTAAGCTTTCCTTCCACTTAATATCTCTAGCAGAACAATTTCAAAATTGTAAACATCAGTCTCCATATCTCCACTTAAATCCTTGTCTGTAGAACTTAAGATCCTAAAATCTGCTATTCTTGCCACCCATTCAGAGTCCAAAAGAATATTTGAAGTCTTCACATCTCGGTGAACAATGGGTGGAGTGACTTCATTATGAAGGTAATCAAGTCCTCTTGCAGCCTGCAATGCAATCTTCAACCTCAGGTCCCAACCTAAAGGTGAGAAGTCCCCATGAAGATGCTCATGAAGTGTGCCACGAGGCATATATTCATAAACCAGTAGTCTTTCCCCCATTTCAGCACAATAACCCAGTAAGTTCACAATATTGCTATGCTTTACATTGCATAGTATTTCTAACTCTGCTTCGAATTCCCGGCTGTTGGTGTGAATTATTGTAGCAGCATTAGCTCGCTTGACTGCTACTTGCCTACCATCAGGAAGAACAGCTTTGTACACAGAACCGAAGCTCCCTCGGCCAAGCTTACTGAATTCTTTAAATCCATGAGCAGCATCTTTCAGTTCTGAAAGCCGGTACACTTGGGTCTCTCCAACATATGTAGTTACAGATAGAGGTGGTAGCGGATTTGGATCAGGATCAGCCTCCACAACTGGTTTGCCTATGCAAAAACTGCATGGAATTATACCTTTTCCTTCACCTTTGATTTTGATGATTCGTGGAAAAACACAACTAGCAACTAAAATCAGTAAGCAACCAGAAACAGAAGATCCAATGATGATCACCAGCTTTTTTATCTCTAGTTGCTCCTGTTGCCGAGTCTTAGATGATGAAGGAACTCTACAGACATACCAACAAGAGCTATTCTGGTAAAGTGAGCAAGGAGTGCATGTTCTATCTGCATTGGCACTACACATGCTTGAAGGAAAGTAGCCCTGGGAACAATTTCTCCCACAAGGCAAGCATATCTTCAACTCATTCTGAGCACACAAACTTGTCAGCTCTGGCTCATTAAGGATACTTGCATTGAATGCAAACTTTCCACTAGCACATGACCTTGGAGAACATACACCAGGGCTACATAGCTGCAAAGGTGGACTATAATCAGGCGAAGACTGCTCATTCACACCCCAACAATCAAGAACCAAGTCAACTTCTCGAACCCCACAAGTCGTAAAATCTGATGAAGCAATAGCCACAAACCCAGAACCCTGTGGCACTGAGGAAACATTACTGTTTTTTCCCCAGCATTCGATTCCATGATCAACTTCACGAATGCCGCCAAAATGTTGTCCACCAGCTGATAAACTAACAAACTGGGTCCCACGTGGCAGAAGCCCAAACTCACTTGAATCACCCCAACATTCAACTTCACCAGATATCCTAGAAATACCACAAACTGAACTTTTTCCAGAAGCTAAAACCTCAAACTCACCGGACACATTGAAAATTCCCAAGTTGCCTGATTTAGGCCCCCAACAAAAAACCACCCCATTTTCCTTAACAACCCCACAACTAAAACCATCGCCAGAAACAATATTCTTAAACATTGTTAACATAATGATCACTAATAAAACTCATAGTAACATTACTTTTATCAAACGTTTGATGAAATTCCCAACAATCTACATAACCAAAATAATTAGTACTTGAAAAATAAGACCCTTTAATAGCACAAACATGAGTTTTCCCTGCAGCTATTTGCGAGTAAGAATTATCTCTAAAAGCTTTAGGAACAAGATTTATACCAAAATTCAAGGAATCCCAACAAAATGCTTCTGAATTATTCGAAGTAATACCACAAAGAAAGCCTTCACCACCAGAGAGAGAAGCCATGGAGGGAATAAAACTGAATGTGGGTGCCATATCGTCTAGATTTGAGGATTTATTGCTAGATATTGACTGGAAGGAATCGCCATCAATATTTTTTTATCTAGGTGCGATTGGTCACCTAAGGAATCTATCATTTTAAAAAACACCCAAACTTAAGGGTCCCTAAAAGAATAGGTTCAGGTCTACTAACTAGAACAGGATTTAGAAGTACGGTTACGTGTGTAGCACCCTCACAACACCCATCGAAAGATGGTACCAGTTTAATTTTGTGTTATCCAATAAGTCTTAAAAATTTATCAAGTAATTAATTATTGAAAATTATTCTCAATTGACTCTAATACTTTTATTAGAAAATTGAAAAAATTCTCTTACCTCAAGAGTATGCAAAAAAACTACTGTTTTACTTGCAGATGCTCTATCGTCGGATTATTTAACATTAAAAAAATTTCAAGAAACAAAAAGGAAAAGAAATAAAAAAAATGATTTGGCTTTAGATATAAATCATTTTCTTTTCAAAAATTCATTACTTTTATACAAAGAAAATTGATACTTTTAACTTTTTCTCAAAATATTTTTTTGAAACTTTAATTTCGAGAAAAATTGATACTTTCAACTTTTTCTCAACAATATTTTTTCTTTTTTTTGGAATTTTATTTAAAGAAAATCATTTAAAAAAATAATAAAATAAAATAAAATAAGAAATACTAAATAATTCTAATCTAATCAATAAACAACAACAATAATAATAATAATAAATAAGAAAAAAAAACCTTTGGAACGGCTCGGCTCAAGACAGAAAAGACGGCTCGAAGACACGGCTCAGGGAAGTCAACTCGGCTCGGCTCCAGGAATCGACTAGCACGCGGGTTAATGAATCAGGTCATGATCAGGTCAGCCCAAACAAAAACACGCGAATCCTGGTAACATACTAACACTAAAACGACGTTGTTTTGCGTAGGTATAAAAGGCAAAGAACGGGTTTTTTCTTCAGATACGCCTTCTTCCTTCTCTCTATTCCCCTCAGCTTTCTCCTCCTTCTCTCTACGTGAGAACACAACCCTGAATCCGGTTGAATTTCCACCAGATTTTGGAAAATAACCCCAGAAACTTCAAAGTTGGTCGAAAAACTCGTCGAAAAATTCAAGGTTCACCGAAAAATTTTACCAGATTCTAGAAAAATTCTGGAAATTTTCCAGAAAAAAAACTTCAAAAATTCTAAAAAATTTTCCACAAATTCCTAAAACTGTATCTAAAGCACCAAAACTTTTTAGCTTATGTTTTCTCTCTGTTCTTTTCGTCTGTCTATGTGTTTTCGTTCATTTTCTGTGGATCTATATATAGGGATTGATCGAAGAGTTTTGATCAATCCTAATTCCCTCTTGGATTGGGATTCAATCTTTGAATCCAATTTGGACTTTGATTGAATCCCAAATTTGCAGTAAAATTCCCACCTTTTTTTTATCAATATCCTTTAATCCCAACCAAAAAAATAATAGATAAATAATAAATATATATACTAATAGATAAATAATAGATAATAGTTAATAATAAAAATTTATATACATTAATAGATAAATAATAATATATATTAATAGATAAAAATATATATTAATAAATAATAATAATAGCAATAAACAAATAAATAAATAATAAATAAATAAGATACAAAATAAAAATACAAAATTGGCTTACCCATTTGGACCAGGTCTAATTGATTCAGGCCTAGACCAAATTGGGTGTCTACAGCTGGCCCTCTTTGTACATTTTCTGTGAAACAAGAATTGTGCAAAGACATAGACACCCATTCAAGACTCAACTCGACACTTTTTTTTTTGGTTAAAATTTTGATCAAAACTCCTCTGAGTAAAGGCTCAACAGCTTTTAAAAAAGTAAACAAGGTTCCTCTAAACAGAGGCTCTATGATCTTGAAAATAAATGGCTTCCCCTAATCAGAGGCTCAACGACTTTTGAAAAATAAACCAAGCTCTTCTAAACAGAGGCTCAACGACTTAACCAATAAACAAAGTTCCTCTACACAGAGGCTCAATAACTTTTGAAAAATAAACAAAGCTCATTTAAACAGAGGCTCAACGACTTAAACAATAAACAAAGCTCCTTTAGACAGAGGCTCAATGACTTTTAAAAAATAAACAAAGCTCCTTAAACAGAGGCTCAACGACTTTGAAAAATAAACAAAGTTCCTCTAAACAGAGGCATCACAACTTTGAAAGTAAATGCTCTTTGACAATCATGTCCAAAGGAGTTAAAAATCGTGTTTGAAGGAATTTCAGGAGATTATGCTTAAAGATCTTACAAATAAACCTTGATACCGAGAGATATCCTATTTTAAGGATTAGAAACTTACTTGACAAGCTTTTTCTCAAATTTAAAAATGTCTTCACATCTGTCTTCTCCATGTGGGATTTTGGAATACCCCTACTTCTTGGCTTTATGCACTATATTTTCTTGAATGTAGTATATGCTATACAATACGTGTGAAATTCAATGCATGCTATGCAAATGTTGGCTAATTAATTCCTATTCAATTGTGGTACTCAAGTTTCTCAAGTTTTTTTCTTGGCCTCGAACCCTTGATTCTTCAAATATCAAGTTACGTTATTCTTCTAAGATCAAGCCAGTGTAACTCTCAATCATCTTTTCCATTTAGTTTTCACATTCTTTTTATAAGAAAATCTCTTTTCAAATTGGATGTCTTATTAGGAACTGAACATCTCGATTCTACCTTTATCACTCTTGACTTCTTCAATGTAAAGTAAAAATCTTTCATGCCATTATTCATTTATCAATCATTATTTCAAACTCAAAAGGTAAGAATGCATTTGCACATTTCTTCCATTGTAGGGTATTAAGAAGAAAAAAATAAGAATGGTTGAGAAATAGTCAACAAAAGAGGCACACAAAGAGTGAAATAGAATGTCTTTTATTAGCAAAAATGTTGGCAAACTTTGGCCAAGAAAAAATTACAAAAATAGGCATAGGGAGACAATGCCCAAAAATGAATAATTGGACAATCATGATAGCACATCTCAAGGTTCTTCTGAAAACCCAATCATCTAATGCACTTAACAACTTAGAGCTTTTTCGAATTTGCTAGCCTCCCTACCAATAAATTTTCAGATTTGATGTTGTATTCTTTTCAAGTTTTCAACTTAGATAAACCCCCTATGACTCAAACTGTCCTTTTAGGGTTTTTGCCTTGAGTCCTCTTTTTTCATTCTTTTTTTTTCCTTTTTTTTGTTTTTACCTTTTTTTAAGCATAGTATTTCTTCACAACATCAAAATTTATAGGATGGCGTAAATCATTTCTATCCATCTCAGTCAGTATCAGTGCTCTACTCGAGAAAACCCGTTTCACCACATACAGTCCTTTCCAATTCGGAGTCTATTTTTTTCTATTATCGTGCTGGGTTAGGAGGATCCTTTTTAAGACCAACTCTCATTCTCATAAGTAACGGGATCAAACTTTTTTATCATGAGCCCTCATCATTCTTCTTTGATATAGCTGACTAGGGCATAATGCAGTCAATCTCTTTTCTTTTATGAAATTTAACTGTTCATAGCGTTTTTCGAATCCATTCAGCTTCTTCCAATTCAATTTCTTTTAGAACCCTCAAGGATGAGATCTCCACTTTCACTGGTAGTACAACTTTCATCCCATAAACAAAAAAAAATAAGATTGCCCCAGTAGAGGTGTGCACTGATGTTCGATATGTATGTAGTGCAAATAGCAACTTCTCATGCTAATCTTTATAGGTCTCAGTCATCTTTTCAAGAATTTTTTTTATATTCTTATTTGTCACCTCAACTGCCTCATTCATTTTCGGATAGTATGGTATCGAGTTATGATGCTTGATCTTATATTGAGCATATATTTTTTGCATCATCTTACTATTTAGATTCTTAGCATTGGTAGTACAACTTTCATCCCATAAACAAAAAAAAAATAAGATTGCCCCAGTAAAGGTGTGCACTGATGTTCGATATGTATGTAGTGCAAATAGCAACTTCTCATGCTAATCTTTATAGGTCTCAGTCATCTTTTCAAGAATTTTTTTTATATTCTTGTTTGTCGCCTCAACTGCCTCATTCATTTTCGGATAGTATGGTACCAAGTTATGATGCTTGATCTTATATTGAGCACATATTTTTTGCATCATCTTACTATTTAGATTCTTAGCATTGTCTAAAATAATTTTCTTTGGAAGTTCATATCTGCAGATGATCTTTCTCTTTATGAATTTGTAAACCACAGATCTGTTACATTTGCATATGATGCTGTCTCTACCCATTTTGTGAAGTAATCTATCATCACAAAAATAAACCTATGCTCATTAAAAGCTTTTGGGGTGATAGGACCAATGATATCCATGCCCTCTATTGAGAATGGCCAAGATGGTGCCAAAACATGTAAAGTAGATGGTGAAACATGGATCTTATCAGCATATATCTGTTATTTATGGCATTTATAAGCATAGTTAATGCAATCACTCTTCATTGTTAACTAGTAGTATCCTACTCTCATGATCTGTCTCACCATCATATGTCCACAGCATGTGCCCCCTATATTCCATCATGCACTTCTTCAATGATTTTTCTTGCTTCAGTCTTACTTATACATCTCAGTAATACTGATCATAGCTTATTTTATACAGAATATCTTCATCCAAGAAAAAACTCATAGCTAATATTCGGATAACCCTTTTATTATTCTCTATTACTTAAACTAGATATTACTGATCTTTAATATACTCTAAGATATCATAATACTAAGGCTTTCCATCTTTCTTTTCTTTTACATTGGAGTAATGAGCTGGCATATCCTTAACATCTAATCTGATGGGCTGAATGTTAGTATTGTCATTAATTTGAATCATTACAGTCAGAGTAGCCAAGGTATCGACAATCAGATTCTCCTTTCGAGGTAAATGGTTAAACTAGATATCTTCAAATTACTTTATCAACTCTAAAATATACTTATAATATGGAACGGGTTTTAAATCTTTCGTC